TTTTTAGAATTTAGAAATTTCCGAAAGGGTTGTCATATTCAGATTAAAAAGTGCTAGTTTGGAAGGATTTTCTTTCAATCCAAATCTCTGTAATCTTAATTAATAAAAAAGCTCTAAAGCTACCTTGTCTGCAGCTAAAAACTTTAAAGCCCATATTTGTAATGAATATATTTGTGAATTTAGACCTTTACATTTGTATATGCAATACTGCTATCTACTTTGAGTATAAAGTTAACTAATTGCAAATAATCATTTCCTCATACTTGTTAACTGTAGAAGTCAAATATTTATTGAAGTATTAACAGCACAAGTGAAGCGAATGTGCAACCGTTATGTGATCACTGTTACTACCATAAACCACATGCAGCAAACATTCAAAACTACAGTATTTAGTTACAGTTAAGTTTTTTCTTTACCTTACAATCACGCTTGGCAACGCGATCAAGTAAAGTTGCGCTCTGCACCGAAATTCTTTGCAGCTGCTCGCTGTCACTTTTATACTTGCCACTTCCGTCTCGGTCGCGAGTTGACAGTATTGAATGCTATTGCTGCAAGAAGCTGCGGTCCATCTATCAAATGCAATAGCAACAGCAACAACAACAAATAATTTTTAATAAAAGCCAACTTTTAGCATTAATTGCATGTGCAGAGAATCACTTGACTCCACCAAGTGGCAGTTGCATTAGGAAAAACGCAATTCAGCATTTGTGTTGCTTCGCATAGAACACTTGAGACGCTTGTAAATCACAACAAACATTGCAAACATGCGGTAAAGTGATCGGGTTACGCTGAGACAACGCCGCCGGCAGTCATCGTCTGCACACACAAACACACACGTTGCCTTTGCGTAACTCCATCTTTGCCGCAGTTTGGTGAAATCGAAAGCGATATCCGTTGCAACGCGCAGGTGATGAAATTTTGCTATAACACATGACACATAATTAAAGTTTGTGTCTGTGTGTGTGTTTGCGTTAAGTAAATAAGTGATTTGTTTGCTGATAGCTGAACGGAAGCAACAAATCGTTAATATTTGCATAAAAAAATATATTGACAATGGTAATTGGAATTTGAAAAACTGTTGTCTGCAGTTGGAGTCATAAAATACCAATTAAGAATATTTGTATAATTTACTCGTGTCCTTAATTTGTTTTTTTTTTCAACAAAAATATTCACACGCTCGGTTTCGCTTGCGGCATTTCCTTGTGGCACGTACATATATTGGACAACTAAAAGCTACTTAATTACTTACTTAAAATACAAAGAGGTTCAACTGTGTTGGTTGTGCCACATGTACAATGCGAGTATATGTAGTAAAACCGATTGGAATAAAGTAAAAAATTATAGCTTAAATTTAATGAATTATTGATTTAACTTTTAAACCACTTAAATTATGGTACATGGTTATGCCTTATCTCCATCTTCCAGTGTCATAATAAATCTTCCATTGTTCCTGATGCAAAATAATATTTTTGGTATATAGAAATTCCAATATCGGACCACAATAATATATCGCTTAATCAAACTGAATGATTAGAATCAAGTTCCTGTATAGAAAACTTTTTTAATCGAATAAATTGTAACGATCGGAGCACTTTAGCATATACACATCTGCCGTTCAAACCGATCGTTCAAAATCAAGATAAAGATTTGTACCTACCTAACTATTGTACCTTTTACATATTACCTTTTATAACATAGGTTTATAATACAATATAATTGTTTGCAGCGTTTACAGATAATAATTAATAAATATTAGAAAAGTAAAAATAATAAAAGCATTTCAAAATATTCCAACTTCCTTTTCTAACTTTATCCTGACATTCCAGTATTACCGTTTGAAAATGAGCGAAATCGAATTAAAACCACGCCTACTTTCCATGTAACACGATTTTAACTTCCCTTTGATGCTTTCACTTTGCAGTATATAAATCCAGTATCAGTGAAGAAAATACTGCCTTTAAAACTATCTTAAGTCTAAAAACTGTCGGAATCGGGCCATAATCTTTCAAGTCCCCGATACCTTAGTGTCAGCATGTGAGATATATTCTTGAAATGAGAGTCTTTGCCTGATAACAGTTTGCCTTTTTTTTGGTTATTCTGAACTCCTGAAATTATGCTTCGGCTTTGATTTTTAAAAATTATCAGAGCATAAAATGTACCGTTATATCGCACTAAGCCCTTCCTTACTTCTTATCGGACCTAGTGCAATCTCAAGCTGGGGCTTGTCATCGAATGTGTGATCAAAGCTAAATTCAATGTGGTCTAAGTGTGTCTCGTAAATCAACAGTTCACCAAGTTAAAAGCAAACATAAATCGTTAAGCAGTCCATACATTCACACGTGACATCTGTCACAGTTAACGAAATAAACTATGCAGAGAGAACTGCAAGTAAGACTTAATGTGTCATTTTATGCAATGCCTTTTCATACAACTCTTTACTTATATGAAGTACCGTTTAATAGCCGCAAATTACCCTCCATTTACACAGCACAAAATGCCACAAAATTATGGACAATAGCACGCACGTACATCATCTGTTGTTACGTGCCCCAATCATACAAGACACACACACGCATAGATACATTTTCCTACAAATGGCCGCTGAAACAAAGGAAAAGCAGTAAAATGTGCTTTATTGCAAATTTTCACCTACAATTCCACTTTCTGATGTTATTAACCTCAAGCAGCCCAGCAGTGGGCGCATATGTAATTCAACCCGGAGATTGTCTTATGGCAACAACAACAATGTGCGTCTGTGAGCGACGGGGCCAGCTGCTGGACATTGCGCTGGATTAGCCAGCGCGCTAACTGTGTCACATGCGAACGCTGCAGAGCTGCTGGTCTATGAAAGGCAGCGCCTTGCGCTTACGTCATAACACCACAGCAGCGTTGACAAACAGACAGACGAACCTGTGGCGTGGCATGCAAGCGGAGCGGTGCAACGCGCACCACAAATGTTTTCTGGAGCGTTTTGGCTGGCACGGTATTGCACTGATTGTGCCGTGCGTGGCATCCTGAAACACTGCGCCACAGCTACAGCTTGGCACTGTGGGCGCTGATCAGCGACGCAGGCGCAGTTTCGATTGTGCGCCAATTGAGTTGCATTCGACTTTTTCATTTGCAGTGCGCCATTTGTTTTTTCTCTTGGCTAAACATTTTCATTTTGAACACATTTACCACTGGCTAGCGCCTCGCTACTTAGCGGTTTGTGTTAGCAGATAAATGTTACGTATATAATAAAAATCGAGTAATGTTTTTGCGTATTTAATGCGCTTGAATGTGTTTGATTTGTGGCTTTTTTCTCGTGTTTTCAGCAAGTTTTGCAACAAAATATAAATTAAACTGGTTCTACGGGTGTGTGCTGGTCAGCAAGCGCTTACAATGCAAGCGGTTCAAAGCCTGTAAGGCGTTATGTATGTGTGGCGCAATTGAAAGCAGGAAATGCCGCAGCATCTGTGCACTCGCCTGCCTTTTGTCTAATGTAGAAAACTAAAATAAAAATGATTTAATGGAAAATTAAAATTGGAGCGCGTGCAATAAGTGCGTCGCATTTGGTGGCTGCACGCAGAGTTTGTACTATCTTAACATCTACTCATATTCCAAAACGTTTAAAATGTCTACTGTTAAATTAGTGTTAGTGGCTGATGTATGCCTTCATTTAAGTATTTCGATCTTAATTTAGCGTAGGTCGTGACTGCGCCTACAAAATATTGACTAACCGTGCAGTTATTTCAACACCACAACTTGTATGTTTATATTATGCGAAAATCAATGACTTAATAACGGTGTTTATTACCATTTAGATTTGAAAACGAGAAAAAACATTAACTTCGGCTGCACCGATGCTATAACAATATTCACAGTTGCATATCTTATAGCATAAAAGTGCATAAAAAGAACGTAACCTAGATTTTGTGCAGTTACTTAGTATGGCAGATATATGCTATAGTGGCCCGATCTGAAAAATTCTTTCGGATATTGTTCGTTTTAAAACAATAAACCATGTTAAATTTCATGAAGATATCTTGTCAAAAAAATAGTTTTCCTACAAGAATTAATTTTGATCGAGAGGTATGTATGGCAAACCTTGTGCAAAAAAAATTATCTAGACATTCCACTTTCATAGTTTAAAATCGTAGAACACGCAGAACGCAAGCGCGAAAAATATAAATTCAAAAACAGTTTTCTTACAGTTTTCACTCATACACTTGAGCATTACATTTCTTTATTTTTCGACGCCTTTAGATTTTTGGCATTAATTTTTAACTTCCCGCTAAGAAAATGGAAAATTTTCTAAAAATCGGGAAGATATTGGTTTCACCCCATTTTGCAAAAATCGAGTTCTCAACAGATCTCGACGTTCTGAGGGTCGAGGAAGCTTCCCCGAACATTTCTACGATGATGTCCGTATGTCTGTATGTATGTGTGTGTGTGTGGATGTATTGACCCTCTTATAACTATTAAACTGCTCAACCGATTTGAATAAACTAAACGGCATTCCAAAGGATTTCATTGCACTTGAATTTCGTGTGAGTTTGGACCCAATCGGAAAAGTAGATTTTGAGAAATCTCAAAAATAAAAATTTTGAAAAATCGTTTTTTTCGAATTTCCAAACGACTTGACCGATCGACACCAAAAACTAATCAGTTCTAAACCTTGAAGAAACACATCGTTTGCCGCAAACCGGGTCGAAATCGGTTGATTTACTTGCTAGATATCGAAAACGAATATTTCGAAGAGCTCAAAAGCAGTGAAAAAAGCGAAATTTGAACGTTATCGTATGAAATAAGAGGGAAGTTGCAGGGATGGCCCTTGAGGCCAACCGTTTTCCACATTTGTTTTTTTGAAATATTAAATTTTATTTTGAAAATTTTTTTTAGTACAGATCTTCGGTATTACAAAATAAAAAAAAAGTTATTTAAATATTTATTCAATAATTTTTTTAAGCTTTATTTGCAACTCTGCTTTCAGGTCCTTTTCATTTTCTTTTTAAACTCACCTTGATCTGCACCACTTCACGCATTTCCGTTTTGTAATTGGAGCAACGTGGTGGAATCTCCATGCACCACTGTGAGCTGCGTATGCGCACTGGCTGCATCGTGGGCACCTTTAACTGCTCCACGTAAGTCTCCTCACGTACACAAATGTGCGAGTCAGCATCCAGCGGCAGTGCTTCATGCTCACCTTGTGCCTCAATGGGCGAGTTGAAATCGCCACTACTAGACACAGTTGCAGTCGGAAGTGCCGTTAAGGCGGTGTTAATGCGTAATAATTTCTCCTGAGCGCCAAGACACAGAGATAAAGAGCTTAGTAGTAATAGAACACTAAAAAGTGGTTTGAAATTTTTGTGGACTTTTAGTTTGACGCGCCTCATTTTATTGCATTTAGATTTATTTATTCGAGCGCACAGGTGAACTTTAAATTTTTAATTTCTTTGTTTGTTTTTGTTTGTATTTACATTATATTTCACAAAATTTCACCATTTCTTGAGAGCAATCGAATTTTTTAGCATTCTTATATTATAAGCTTTTGTTTTTTTGCTTTTACTCTCTTCACAAGCACTTTCACTGCTTTCACTTGAATTCAATTTCACTTGAATCCACTTTTACCATACGCGTTCGGTCGATCCGTTCATTCTAAACGCGTTGCAAAGACTGTCGCCAGCTAGCACGAAAACACTTCTAGAAGCTGATTTCAAACAAAAAAATACAAATTTGTTGTGAAAGCACACATACATACATACATAGATACACGGTGAAATTTACAAATGCAACAAACAACAGAACATTAAATTCTCCAACAAACAGCAAATTGAAAGCAACTCTCTGCCCAGACACACACACATACATACACATTGGCATTACGGAACGCACTTGCGTAAACAAATCACAATTGAATTATCGCATGCGAACGCACTGAAACCGAATCAGTGCAACCAGTCCGACAGTGACACAGTCCGCCGGAAAGACAGACAGCTCAGCAGCGAACAACAAATGTGTAAATACTCAACATAAATCAGCAGACAATTATTTAATTGAAATGATGATGTCCTTAACTCGCTTTGTTTTTGTAAACAGTACCTGCTTTTATACAAAGTCACTGGAAAAATATATATATTATAAGTATATATAATTTGTACTCTCAGCGGTGCAGTAATTGTGTGTTGGGTGGTTGCCACCCCTTTATTCTCTGTCAGAGCTGATATTTACTACTTTGGTTACATACTTATAACTTTTGACAAATAAGATGGCATCACACCATCACACACGAATACATTACAAAATTAATGGCTGATTCTAGCGACGAAAATCACAGCTGAAACAGCGGTGCTTTGAAATACCAACACCTGAGTGGCATGGGCGAAGTGACTCTCATGTATCGACGAATCTGTTAGACTCTATAACCAAACATCTTATTACGACGTCAACCAATTTATTCGGCTGACCCAAGATATAGCATCAAAAATGTTTTAACCTCAGTCTAGAGAAAGCTGAACAATCGAGTGGAATTCGCTTACTTCTAGACAATTGACGTTCATCAAAATTTATCCTCAACAGATATATGCCTATTGGAAACGTTCCGATTAGATCTCCTACAACTGTTACTAAATGAACCGAACTAAAAGAATGTAGTTTAATGGACCAGCGCTCATGCCGCTCAGACGAAGCCCAGCCATCTAGTAATGGACCACAAAACGGCAATCTAGTTTCGTCCCGCTCTGAACCGAATTCAAAAATTTTTTAATTTGCAAAATATATTAATTGAAGATATACAGAGTTCGCAATTTTTTGAGCCAAAAATATTTAATTTTAAAAAACTATTTTTACACCCTGAACAAGGTATGTTAAGTTTGCCACGATGTTTGTAACACCTCGGAGTCTCGAAGATCTATAAAATGTGATGAGCTGAGTCGATTTAGCCATTTCTGCCTGTCTGTATATATGCGAACTACTCCCTCACTTTTAAGAAATCGCTCTGAAATTTTGGACACGTCCTTTTCTTTTTAAGAAACTGCTCATTTGTTGAACCCAATATCGGACCACTATAACATATAGTTGCCATACAAACTGAACGATGGGAATAAAGTCCACGTATGGAAAACTTTTTCATTTGACGAGATATCTTCAAGAATTTCGACACGGACTATTACCTTAGGTAATAAGGCAATGGTGCAATCTCCACGTAAATTGTTTATATCGGATCACTATAGCATAAACATAGTTGCCATAAAAACTGTGAAATGTGAAAATTACGATTCGAAATTTCAAAATAATTTATTGAAACCAATTTGCATTACCAAATCGGTTACAACGCCACTGCATTCCAATTACCGAAACGTTGCAACCCATTACCCACTAAATTTATTTTCATATGGTTGTGTAAAATATATACTTTTGCAAATTCATCGCCTACTAACAGTAAGTCATAACCAGAGAGCGAAAATTGTACAAATATTAAGGCGTTAACTAAGGCGCATAGAAGCACTTATGATATATAATATACTGGATAAACACACAACCATTAACGCTTTATTTATCTGACACTTGAGCATGTAATTATATCAAGAGGAGAGTTGTGAGTATTTCTACAGCGACTATTTCCCAAGATCAACGACTACCTACCTACACACACACACGTGTATTGCTAATCGGGAAATGCATTCCGAGTAAATACTTTAATTCGCGTAACACACTACGCCAGCGCTGCGTAAATTTAAGCGAAATGTTGTTATGTTTGCTTTTATTATGAGGCAGTACGCGTCTTGGCACACAGGGGAACGTCGTCAATTTATGAATCTATCAACTTGTTCCGCACAAAGCCCATATGAAACAGTATATTATATATGGTATGTATGTGTTGATGTATGGCTGCTTATAAATTACATCTAGAATATAACGCCAGAATTTATTGTCTTACGCGGGTTCGCATATTTACTTTGACGCAGCATAAAACAACTCAATAAAGTGAAAAGGTATAGTATTCGCTTTCAAACGAATTCAGTACGAAGACACAACCAGTAGGAAATAAAATTATTTTTGTATTGAATTAGAACTGACTGAGATAGATTTTTTAAGATATTTTACAGTTTACAAGAAACCGTAATGAAAAATATTTTATTTTAAACGGTTGAATAGTTATGATATTTTAAATGAAAACAGGTTTTTTATATCAGAAACTCATTGTTTAAAATTAAGTTAAAAAATCTTCTTGTTGGTATACTTTTCTACTTTGAGCAGGGTATATTAAGGAGGTATTTTGGAGGCATGAACTTCAGGTAATTTTTGAAAAAAAAAAATTTTACGCAGTAGCGACTGCTTGACAAGAAAAAAATAATAAAAGTTTAAAACCATTTCTTTTTTTAATTTATAAACAAGATTTCTGGATCCCCTCTCAAGTTTGCGACAATGTTTGTAGCGCATAGAAAGCAATATAGGAAAGTCTATAAAAAATACACAGTATATATATTATATAAATAATCGGTGTGACGAGCTGAGTCGATTTAGCCACGTCCGGCTGTCTCTCCATCTGTCTGTCCGTATATACGCACAATAGTTCCGCAGTTTTGGAGATATCGACCTGAAATTTTGGGCATATTATTTTCTCTTAGCTGCTAATTTGTCGAAAAAGCCGATATCGGACCATACAAACTGAATGATCAAGATCTACTTCTTGTAAGAATTTTTTTATTTTTGAAAGGCATGGTTACGGTGCAACCGATATTTACGTTTTTCATTGTACATATGTACCTAAGATAGATGTGACATAAACAGATTTATAACTTCAAATCATAACGGATATCATTGTGAATTTTCATTAAGTAACACTATGCAACAAAGTGTCAGATGTTATATATCTTATATACTTTGGTAATTCTTCAAATTATTTTAAACTTTAATTGTTGTTATATTTTTTTAAATTTTAATCTTTATTTAAGTATAAAAAATAAATTAAATTAATGAAAAATTTTATGTTAAGTTTTGTATATTTAAACTCCATTAAGAATTATTTTTCATTTAATTCGCAAATTGGACATCACGAAATTTTTTATATATCTAAATTCTTAAACATATCTGCAGAGCAGACTTTTAAAAATCCCTTTTTAGGCTATCAATGAAATCCAATTGACAGTTGCCGCTACTCTGACAGCATTAATTAAAAACTCGTAATTTCGGGCAATTGTTTATGGTAGTGCACTAATAAATAGGCGCCTCTGCGAACATTTGGAAAATAAATAAAAAAGGCAAACAAAATTGTGCACTGCAATCATACATTTTGCTGGTTCCACTCTAAAACGTATGCAAATTAGAAGATAAAATAAAATATTTTATATGCAAACAATTAACCGCCTACGAAGCACTTAGCATTTGAAATTCAATAAAATCACTTATAATCTGAGAAATGCATTAAGCATTTGCGACTTCCACTTCCGTCAATATTAGTAGAAATAAAACGTAGTGCCTAGAATTAAGCATAAATTCACACGTGAGTGGAAACTAAGAGCCGCCGCAGTATTCCGCGGATTATTGGCACGAACTGAATTACATAAAACAGAAAATAAAACTCACACGCAATTTGCAATTGAACTTGAGTCAATGCCAATTGGCGTCTGGCGTTTGGCGTTTGGCGCGTTCCAACGGCCAATCACACGCACACGCACACACACAAGGGAGGCAAACGAGTATACCGGCTGCACCCGCTCAACCAGACTGCTCAAATTGCCATTTTTTCACAATAAAAATAAATTTATGAAAAAAGTACGAGAAATCACTGAGGTGCGGGAAACCAGTTGGGCAATTTGTCAGAGGTACAGCCAAGCGGTAGGCGGCATGACGCCACAATGCTAGCCCAGAGTCAATCTGCGCGCTTTATGTGCTCACGTGTTGATGTGTGTGTGTGTGCGCGAGTGCGAAATAAAGCAAATGGGACCACCTGTGCGTATGCGAAACCCATTGGCGTTGAATGGCTTGCTTTTTGCGTATGCGGTCTATGCGTAGTTTGGAAAAACGCTTACGTACACGCAGGTCGTTAGGCTTCACCGCATGTGTGCATTATATAACGCAACATGTATGCATATGGTTTTAGTGGGCAGTTCTATTGAACTTGCCAGCGTGTCGAGGACAAATTATTATTGATAAAAAGTAAAAAGCAGCATGACCAACTGGTTTATAGAATCAAATTAATAAATAAAGACGAAATTTCGTGGAAAAATACCATCAAGTAAAACTTTTATAAAATTTTAAAACTAAAATTCAATTATATCAATTTCAAGTACTATTTTGGTTAACTAAAAGCTCTAGTATTTGAATGGCATTCGAAACTATTTTGGGAGATCCTCTCAATACAACTGAGATAATTCTTCACACTGCATAAAGACGTGTAAAGAAAGCCTCGATAAAATTTTAAAGAGTCGCTCTTTAATTAAATTATTATTTTAATAAGTTTTATATTTTTTATTTACAACAAAACTCCATAAGCGATAACTTAGAGCTTAAAATACATTAAGCATGTATAAAAGAAATAAATATATATAACCATGTTCATAAAAAAATATAAAATCCAGCTTTTTTATACAAAGTTAAAAGTTTCATTTTCCTTAGACTCTGCGCCACATAAAAAGCAGCGACCAAGCCACCAACAACAGTGTTGGCAATTTCACCCAATCTGCAGTAGTAGCTGCGTTATAGTAACCACCCGTGACTTGCAGATTCGCCGTCTCAATGCTACGCTTGCAATAGTCGCCATCGTAATTCCAGCCGACAAACTCGTTCGTGCGCAACGACTCCAAGCGCAGCCATTCTTCGAGCGGTGCGAAGTACTCACGCAACGCTGTGCCATCCAGCCGACCCTCACCGAGCGTCTCTTCAAGCACCTCCTGCCACGGCTGTGAGGCGCCTTTGGCCATTATGCTTCTGCAAGCAAAAAATGATTTTGTTATGAATAAATAAAATTTGTTTTTGTGGAAAATTTAACAAAATTCATTAAATTAAATTTAAATACATCTATTGCAGCTGGCTACATTTTTAATAAAATTTCAAATTATTGTATATTACTCACTTTAGTAAGTTCCCTGCTTCTGGATGGCGATACACGTCACAGCGATGCAAGGGCTTCCGTGGGTCACCGGGCACATATTGACCGCTTACGCGACACATGCCACGGTAGATTTGGAACTGTAAAATAGTCGACACATAGTATCTGCAAGTAAAGAGCAATTCAGATTTTATTAAATAAATAGTTGAAATACAAGTTGGAAATAAAGACAGGGGTTTACATTTAAGTAATTTGTAATTTGTTTATTGTCTAAAAAGTTATCAATTTCAGGTATTCAAAATATTCAATGCTAATGCATTTGAAAGCTTTAGTAGACGACTATAAAGTCTTTGAGAAGTAACGAGCTCAACGAAATAGTTTAGTACCGCACGTCCGATCTAGTAATCGACTGAGAGTGTCGACACCGCAAAACTAGATACACACGTACAAATGTAGTTAAACACACGTCGCATCACATGAGCATTAACAGTGAATTTAATTAACTTCTTAAATTGCTTATGACTAAATATGATAAAGAAATACTTCGCAACTGTTTTCAAAACATAACACAAGGTCATTTTGCAAAATAAGTTGGGTTTTATTAGTAATTGTGTTTGATATTTGTTAATTTGTCTCACATGCTACTTAAACGAATCATTACTGAAAGAAATAAAAACATTTTTGTTACAACACACAAATCAAAATAATCGAGTGCTTAGGAACCGTACAAAAATTTATTACAATTTTTGCATTTAATATACATATAATCGATTTATATATGGATTTTATTTTATTTTTAGTACAAAGAATATTCTACTCAAATTTAAAATTGGTCCGACAAATAGTTTTGGTGAATGAGTAAACATATTCGTAAGAATTTTCAAAATAATGTAATCGGCTCCCAAACGCTGTTCAGCTAGAGCATATTCACCAAAAACTTTCACCAAACTACGATATCTTTCGGCTGAGGTTTTATTAAAGTAATAAACACTTTTTCAAGCAAAAAGTTTAATATACATTTATGAGTGAAAAAAATATTATTGTTTACGCTTCAAATGAATGACCTATGATATAGTTCGAAATATTGTAAGGATGGAATAATAATCAAGTTCAGCCATTTCATGGGGAATCGCACGAGTATAGATATTCACCAACACAACAGGATTGTTCTCCAGTTCAATAACGGTTCAACAATAGTTATTCTATGCACTCTAAATCAAGTGAGTACTTGTAGAATAGTATGAGGAGCTGCTGACAAAATTTCATGATTCAGCAGTAATTTTATGGCAGAATAAATTATATGTGAAATGTCAACGAATCAGTTTTTAAAATGAACTAATTTTATTTATACAACTGCTTTTATTTGTATGGTGAACTTAATATTAACTCAAATACTGATTTAAGTGCCGTACTAAATGTGTCCCGTGTCTTTGTGTTTACTCACAGCACTAAAATATAATTTGTTAGCAGCTATTTACGACATACTTTATGCTTTTAATAGCCAGTCAACAGCATTGGCAACTCTGAATTATCAAATTATTAGCACCATCAAAATGTTAATGATCGACAATTTGTCCTCAAGCCGCCATTGCAGCGCATAAAAATTGCATAATCGGTTGCATGCAAAAGCCAACCAATTAAATCTAAACTGAAGCACAACTTGGCACTACTCTGCTGTTTTGCACACACACACACACATACACACACACACGGTAAGTATGTCGTTGGTTTTGTGGCCAGGCAGAGCTCATGCCGGATACAGTTCTAACGCTACACGGAATTTGTTACATTTTGCAATATCCACAAATCATTAGGCGCTGAATAATGAGCCATAACCGACGGTCGAGGAGCAATGCGGCATTGCCGAGTGGGTATTTATGAATTACTGCACTTTTGCGCTCGTTTATTGGCGTCAATGGCGTTGCTTAGAGCCAGCCATGCCCACCGGGCGTTCTGCGAAAGCAAAATTAGCCGTAATCAATGGTAATTATTGTTGATTTACAAATTACGTGCTCGTTTCCAACGCTCACACACACACACACATATACATACATAAATGTCTACATTTAAATATATATGTCTAAGTTAAAATAAGTCTCATGCCAACCTGACAAATGCATTTCAAACGCTTGGTGTTTCGAAGGCTGCTGTCGATTATTGCGGCTGTAGTTGTTGTTGTTTGGTGGTCAAAAGCTGCTGGGGTGTCAGCTGTGGGCGTTCGACAGGGTGCTGTATTGTGATGGTCACGTTGCGCTGTTGCTGATTTGCTTAATTGACGCTGGTTAACTTACCGTTTGCAACGCCAATTATGGTAATTTTGCGCTAAACAAAAGATTTAAGGCACAAACTTCAGCGGCGAAGAGTACAAAGGCGATTTCGAATTAATTTCAAGTAATTTAAATAACGAAACTCGATCATTGGTGCTTGTTAGTTCTTATTGAAATTAGAAAATAGTTAATATTTAAAATTAACTAGACCTTATTAGTTGCCACATTCGTGCCGCTTGACTACAAAAGGCTTTGAAAAATTAAGACCAAAAATAAATAATGTAATTAAGTTGTTTTCGGGCACCGCGGTCTGCTGATTAGATGTTTCGACCAACACTACGCTGGATGTGGGTTTGAATCCAGCTTTCGCTAAAATTCAAAAAAGCTATTTTGTTTTTCTGATATGAAAGAATTTCTCATAAAACCCATAGGTCCTTCTGAGTAGGCTTGAAATACTGATGATGGATATAATCAAGGCGATAATCAGTTGTTAGGGGAAAATATCAGCAAACCAAACACAGCGGTATACCTTTGGTACAAAGTCAGTCATAGTTGCCTTCTAATTTCTGGTGTTGAATTTTAGTATTTTTTCAAAGCGTTAATCACCGGAGTTAGACCTGAATTAACCTCTTAAATATAAAAATAAAAAAATTATGAAATTATATTTCAAGAAAATTCCTCCATTTGTTTGCATATCTTATTAATTTAGCAACACATTTGGAAACAACTACGCTGATGAAAAGTGAGTAATAAAATTTGCATACATTACTTTCATATTTTTTCTTGGTTTTTCGTCAATATCCTGTTTTGGTTCGTTTTCCCAAGCGCTCACTGCACACAATCACGCCTTATAAATCAAACGAACAACACGAAGTACACAACATGGCACAAGGCATGCAAACCCACTGCCACAGTGCCCTGCATTTGCGGAACGGTCAGACGGACTGTAACCAGCAAACAACAACAAAAAAGCGGCGCACACACAAAATGCATACAACGGGTTTAACATGCTGAAAAATCAACGAACATAAGCGAGGCAACAACCTTTAAAGTCACAGGCAGTTGAGCAGCCGTCCAAGCAATGAATCAGCAAGCAGCTACAACAACAAAGGCAGCCATTAGAAGCGGCGAACGCCAACGCAGAAACCAAGCCAAGTCTAAGACTAAGGTGCATGTTAGAGTTGTTGCAATTGTTGCACTTTTATGCGCTTAATATATTGTTGTTGTTATGCTTTATTTTCCTACACTCTTGATTTGGCTGTTATGGGGTTATCGCTGCATGCCGCGGCCTGACTTGACTTCGGTGGCATGCAGCAATTGATTTTAATGTTGCTTTTTGTTTTATGCAAAGCTTTGCGCTTTAAATCCTTTTGCATAACAATTAAAAACATAGCTTTTGCGTGCAATTTCTCGTTTTTTATTTATTGACTTTTAACTGTCTCTTTCTTTTTTGGTGACCGATTGTTGTTGAAAGACTTAAAAAATGTGCAAATGCAATATTATGAAAATTTAATTTTGTAGCAATTTTTACTTTAGTATTTTTTGCAGCATACATCAATGCTGGCTAGTCTAAGGAAACGCTTACAACCCGAACAACAGTGTTGTTTTTTATACTTTAGCAGCAAATCAGCCACCAAGAACATTGAAAACAATAAAAAGCTTTATGTCGCTGCCGGTAAAATGGCTCATAATTTATTTGCTGTTGGCGCGTGATTTTACTAAATCCATCATCATGAATGAATGACACAAAATTTAAATTAAAAGCAACGTTCAAGGTCACCTCCGGTATAGACAACTGCCTTTCGGCACGACTTCATTTGCTGTGGGAAAACTGAGGCATGATTAGAAAATACTAAAAACGCAGACTAATTTCAATAGAGTAATGTACAAATGATAGACTCCGTTCCAAATACTTATTTACTTTTATCTTTATTTTTATATTTTTGCTAATTCATCGAAGCGATAATTTAAGCATAACCGCTAGCAATATTTCATAGAAAAAAATATATATCATGCCAAAAAAGTAATTTTTGTTGATTTTTCACAACTTACTCGCCGAGTGTCTTAACTAAAGCTCACATATCTTCATGGCATTGTACTCAAATATTAAACAAAAGAAAATATTATGGAATTTTAATAGAAGATCAGCTTAGGAAAGAAACCGAATCAACATTTTGAGACGTCATTTATTCAACAGTTTAATAAAAAGTTTAATGGAAAACATTTTTGTAGAATATTTTAATCCATAGATTCCACTAAAAATGCGCATTTTTATTAATTTTCGAAAATGCATATAAAGAATTAAATTAGGTTAAGTTAGTATTTTGACCCAAAACATGATTTCTCCAAACAGCTGTAACACCGGTCTATTGTAAGTAAATATTGATCGAACAGACCCTTAAAAAATTGGCAATGCGCTTTGAGGCGGCCACAACCACTTCGGTTATGTATACCACCAGCTTCGCCGAAAATATGACTGCCGCTATGTTTCATCCTCAGTCTTGCAAAAGCTGTACAATTGAGGAGAAAATGCCCGAAAGCTTCCACCTCCACTTACTCCATACAACTTTCACAGTTAGCGTTCGTTAAGATTTTAGACTCGTATGTCCTATTGTACAGTATGTGCGCCTATTGGCCAATTGGACATCCAATAAATCTTGCTGAGAGCAAGTAGCTTAATGGATCTCTCGCGTTCTACTCATGGCTAAAGGTAGCTTTCATTCGCACAGCAGCTTGTTGATCAGTGCCTGCTAGGCTCACGCAAAATCCAGAGGTCCAACGCTAAAATTCTAGAGAACAATGGCGAACCATCTTTTTCGCAATCTGATGTAATTGGGACAAGGGTGTCTTCTCTAGTAAGCTTATCATTTTAGCAGTTGCTAGCAACTCCACCAGGCA